AGGCAGTGGCCTCAGTGACAGTAGACTGAACTGCTGTGTGACCTGGAAACTAGGAGAAACTGAGTGGTCAGTAATGCTCAGGACCTCTCCCAGTTAAGTGTGATATGCTCAAATGAACTTTGTAGCAGAGAAAAGCAAAATAATCCTTTATTCAACTCCCTACTCCATAGCCAGAACACACTCACAGAAGGAGGCAAAACAAAGATCTAACAGTCTGACTGGATGAAATAATCTTTTCTCACGTCAGATCTGGCGGTGAGCTTTACTTCAGTCAAGTGATCCTTGTTTGTTTATGTGTTTATTTAAATCATTCTCCATGTCATCTAGGAACATTTGTTTAAGGACCGTGGTTTGGGTAATAAAAGGTACCTTGTTCTTCCAGTGACTTGCAAAGAACCAGGAAAGGGGAATATTTGTAGATCTGGATATTCAAAGACCAGAAAGAAATGCTTATTGCAACCTTTATATGATTTCTTCTGGAGGTATATTAAAAGCTTCTCATTATAAAGATGCCTTATAATAAAGATTTGGCTTGATTTGCCTCGAGTTTTTGCCGTCTGTCTTTCCCAGTAAACTGTTTCAAGGTTCAGCTACAGTTGCTGCTAGGAAATTTCAGAATGCTTCAAGGTTAAATTGCTCTAGCTTTTATTGTTAGCCACTGGGTCCTGTTCTGTTATTATCAGCAAAGCTGAAAAGTTCTTGCTACTGTATCTCCTTTTCAGTGAGTAAGTGCTTATGTCTGGTAATCAAATAACCTCTCAATCTTTTCTTCCTTAAGCTTATAGACAGGACTCTTGAGGCTTTAAAAATGGGAAAAGTAGATGGGAGAGTAAAGTAAACAGAGAACGGTAAGGACAGTTTAGGAGGTAAAGAGAATAAGATGACATTTAAAAATTTATTAGGAACAAATATAAAAGAAACCTTAGGCCAAGTAATATCTATTGTTAGACGGTAAAATTGGAAGCAGGCAGGCAGAAGAATGCAAGGTTTTATGCCTGCTGTTGAGGTAGACCCTTCAGAACCGTTAAGTCTTTCCACGGTTGGTACCCCGGGTTTCCAGCACATCCAAATCACATCTCCTTACACCTACCTCGTATGTAAGCTAAGCATCCTATTTTCCACTCCCACTTCAGGGACAGGAAAGCTTCCTGAGAAAAGCCGAGTAGACCTTTAGCTTGTTTTCTAGGTCCTTGAATTCCTTCAAGATACGTAAAAAGGTGTCTGGCATGGTCAGTGATGCCAACGCAGATCTCAGTCAAACACTGCATTGCAATTTTCAGTGACTGCCTTTAAAAGTAATTCCCATGAAACAGGAAAGATGTTAGTACAAACTTAGAGCTTTACTAAGAGGCTGGGCGTGATGTGTCTGTTCTTGGAATTAGTATATAGGATGTTAATATAATTGAAGCCTCATGTTTCTATGTCATTAAAAAATAGAAGAAATACCACATCTGGTGTAAGAAAATGTTTAAATGCGTTTTCCCCTCCAGCGTTACTGAGCTTCCATTCATGTTTGTATCCAGTGTTGATTTAAGCTCCAGTTTTGGGACCACTTCCACTTGTGTGAATTTCCGTTGCATGTATTATGCATATGCAGAGTCTGCGTGCACAAAAAGAGCTGCAAGGCTTACTATCTTGTTAGTTAAAGGCCTTGTAAGATAGGAGGGGAAGGGCTAAGGATGTCTCTAGGAAAATGGTGATTGAGGGTTGCCAGAGCCATTCGTCCAACCTGCCCTCTGTGCTCCACAGCTGTGCCAGAGAATCTGCTGCATTGGTATCTAGACTGCTGTGGTCTAGTCCCTCTTTCTTGGTTCAGCATCAAAGCACATCAGGGTGCATGTATATGCATCCTGTCTGGTAGAATACCCTTTTCAAAGGGTATACGTATACCCAGTACTCTGTATGTACAGACTTTAATGCGTGGCTACCATGGTCACAGGTCAGCGAGAAGGTGAAGTATTTGGTCTTCCACTGGCACTGAAAGAATCTCAGAGGTCTTGCCTGGCCAGGAAGACTGGATATACTGTATTCTCCTGCAGAGTACATGTCAAAATCTTTTCTGGTCTGCTTGGATGACTTAATGCACAGCTTCTGGAGAGGTGAAATGCAGGACTTGATGGGTAAATTCTCCAGCTTGTGTCATATGGGAAGACAGATGTAGGTGGACCTAATCCTTTCCTCAAAAATTTGATTCTGTGGCAAGCATTTAGTCTTTTATGATCAGGACCCATATTTGGCCTTTGTACAGTTTTCAAGTATTGCCATTTGTCTTTTTCACATATTTTTCAAATTCATTTACTGACTTTCCTTATTTTCCCATTCATTCCTTCTACTAGCTTTCCCTTGGTGTTCTTTTAGCTTTGCAGGTTAGTATTAGCTCTGATGCTGTTGATGTAACTTTCTTTTTCATTTGAAAAAATGGAACTTGGCTGATGATACCTGGGAGTAAGCCAGTAACAGCTAAAGAACCACTGGAAACACAGGGTATCAAAGTCAGTCTCTCTCTCTCTCTCTCTCTCTCTCTCTCTCAATACTTTTTTAGTTTTTTGTGTGTGTTTTTGGTGTGTTTTAGTTATTTTATTGTAGCTGGATTTTGACTGTAGAGTGGTATTGGCAGTGATGTCCACACAACCACAAGCCTCTCATAGCTGTTTTCCCTTGGGTTATTTGATTAATAGTGCTCTAGGTAATGCTGTTACCCTTTGACTAGAGCCCCAGTGTTTAAAGAAATCAACATTGTCTTCAGTCGCGTTAGGTCTCTTACGTTCGTGGTGTGTCACCCTAGAGAAATGGCAATAACATGACAGTGAAGTGAAGAAAAAGCCTTTTTATTTTTTCTGTGTGGCTTTATTGTGCAAATAGTTTGGCTGTGGAGCGCTGTTGAAATTTGAGTTCTTTGCTATTTAGTGAAGTACACTCTAAGCTCACCTCAGTTCATTTCACCAAGTTTGCAATGTTTGATCTAGAGCTGGTTAATGAGCAGAAAGTGAGTGTGTTAGGAATATAGGCCATGGTTGTTGGCAAGCTTTTCCTTGCTCTAAGGTGTGCTGTATAACAGAGTGGAGGCAGGCTGTCTGTTGGATGTATCTCCCTCAGAGCCAGTAAGGGAGCATCTGAGACAAACATCGTTGATAGTATTATTTAGCTTTGTATTTTATCCTGGTACATATATTTGCGTATACTCTGCAAGATGAGAAACTTCATATTTTTAGGGAAACCCAAAGATGTCAAAAAATTAAATGCACATGTAGCTCAAGGAAGCTTTGGCTAGCGGAAAGCAGTAGATGTTTTTGTTGGATGAAAGGCATCTTCCTTGGAGTTAGGGTTTTACAAGAAGCTGATCCTCATAACTTTTATATTTTGTAATCTGCATCTGGAGGATTAAATTTGAGAAAACAGTCTGAACTTTAGTTCATAAGTCTTGGGAATTTAATATTTTTTTATTAATTGAACATTGATAAGGGGGAATGCGCATCCTTCAGGATGCTACACTAGCTAATTCAGTGCAGAGAAAGTCCTCTTTGTCTATTTGTTCTCAGTGAAGCGCAAATTGGCTTTCAGGTTGAAAGAGAATACCATAACATAAAATAATTAGAATAAATGTGATAAAGAATAGGGGTTATTAAATAAATATTATTGTATTATTAAATGCATGTTATTAAATAGAATTAAAACTGAGGAGGAATTTTGAATCATAGTTCAGAAAAGCAATCGAATGCAGATGAATGTGAGGTTTAATTCAGGGTTAACCTTTCGTCAACATTTAATTAGACTTAAAAATTCATTGATTTTAAAGATTCAATGAAATTTGTGTAGTTTGAGCTCAATGAGCTGTATAATCAACATTTTAGAATTCCCTGTACTTCCTTCTTCTGGCATCATTCCTCTGATTTGTCATGTTTCTTATGTGGAGAGATTCAGGACCTGTGTCTGAGGATTAACAGAAGTTTTGGATAATGCGTTCCTCTGATAAAAAGGGAATGCTGCAGGGATTGGCAACAATGGTATCTTTGCTTAACAACCTTAGTTTGATTCTTTTTGAAATTACTGTGCTGGAGCATTCATTCAGTGTAATGAATACAAATGGCATCACTGTAAATATAAAATAAAATTGTAATTAGCTTTGAAGTCTTTTCATGCAAGTTGGGTTCAGTATAGTCTCTCATGCAAAAGGGGAGATGACTAATCTTCTCTTTAAAAACTCCTACTAAAACTGTATTCTGCTCCATAGTTGTCCAGTTGGAGAAGTCTGGATCCTGGATTAAAGATCTCCATGATGGTTTACTTGGCTTTACTAAGTACTGGGGTATTGGATTTGTTCTGGGAGGAGTCTGAAACCTGCAGAAAAGACCTGTACGTTTTTTCATATTTTTTTCCAGGTGAAGACTCATGTTTAACTGTGTGCTCCTGATTGTACTCTACAGTAAATTCATGAGAATGTCTGAGTAATGTCACCAGACAGTGAATCGATCAAAGATGCTCGTGTTCTGAGTTTGGCTTTTGCTGCTGCTAGGGATGTGGCTTCTTATCCTTCAGAAATGAGATGGTCTCTGCTTCTTTTATCACCAAGATACCAGATAATCATTTCTGTCAGAATCTCTCTTCATTTCCTCTCTGCTTCTTTTCACTGCGTTACAATCTGTATTATCATTCACTGCATGTCATGTTATTTTTTATTTGATGTTGATTTTTGGGTTTTGTAGATGTTTGCATTTCCATGGCCTTGTTCTGATTTCTCAGCTATTTCAGAATTTGTTAACGCTAATGGATAACAGTAGTTTTGCAAGCACGGTTTCAGAGTCTATAATGTACACTGAGTTAGAGCGCGACCTGAATCGGTACCCTTCATTCCTGAGGAGAGCACCTAAATGTTTGTTTACAGAGCTAAGAATACTGTGTTCTGTAACTAATTTGCTGCCTGACCTTAATCTATCATTTTACACCTTTCTTCAAATCCAAATTTCAATTTTAACAGTATTCATCTTTATTCTGGAACCCACTGGTTGCTGACCTGTCCGTCTGTCTTCTCTTCCCTCCTCCCCGTACATGGATGCTTCCTGGATCATTTCCCGTGAAACTCTTGTTCCCCATTCCAAGCAGTCAAATTTTTCAAGTCCTGTTGAAAACTCTTCTATTCCCTTCTGGAAGTCTGCACCTTCTCTCATTGCAGGCATAAACCTTTCTCTATGCTGCACAGATCCTGCACCACTGAGAACTGTGGGACGCACCTCTAGTCAGCATCAACCATTCCATTTATTTATTTATCTAGGATAAAAGGCATTTATGTTGAGGTGTACTGGTTGTGTAATGCTTATAGTAGTACGGGTGCTTATTGGTGAAAGAGTGTATTTTTTTGCAATGCAGGTAAACTTTTAAGAATTAATAAAGAAGGAGCTGCAGGATTAAAATTTATGGAAAATGTAACTTAATCTCTTTCATGGGAATGAGTTTCACTGCACTTAACTAGGCAAGAATTGCTTCCTGAGGTCCCTTTCAACCTGAATTACTCTTTCTTACACATGCAGAAAAATAAGCCTTCAGGGGGTGGGGGGGGAAGGCAACAGAGGCAACTCGCTGTTGGCTTATGCAATATGTATGACTAGCCAGAGCACTTCCATCTCCAGGGTGTCATTACTTGTGAATCTTCACACGTCCTCTTTTATATAAACAGGCTTGCCAAACTAGCTTTTAGCATTGCATAACTGATGTACTAAACAAGGAGACAATATTTTAGGATCTCATATGTAATTTCTTTTAATAGGGAGAACATGCAAGAAAAAATGGCAGGTGCTCAATTTAGAAAGGTATAATTAACACCAAATCCTTTGTGTTTGGATGTGTGGGAAGAAAACAGGATTTCAACAAGTCACACCTGTAAAGATTTTTACAAAAAATAAACATATATTCCAGGCTTGTAAGATGCTGTTGACCTTCTGTAAGCTTACAGAACACGAGGAAGCTGCTGGGCAGCTGAGGACTAAAAAAGTGCTCCTATGGTTAGCCCTCTGAGTTTCCATAGCAGTAACAGATAAGGTTGGTCTTTCTGCTGCATTTTTAACTGAACACTGTCAGTTCTTATCAAGTACCACTTTTCAGGCCTGAGAGGCAGTGCAAGGATAGTTTGAGCCATTCTTCTGGCATACAGGTAGCGCTGTGCACTGGCAGACTTTCAGAGCAAGGATGTATGAAGTTCTGCCATAGGTTGACATACGCGAGTTCGCACAGATTCCTGGAGAGTCCAGTGTGCATTCCAAAAGACAGGCTCTGGCAAGCCTCATGTCGTTCTGAGAGATCCCTTTGCTGCTCCTCTGCTCTCTGACCCACCTTTTGATACTCTCTTTCTCTCTTTAATTCTCTTTTGTTTACGTTCTTCCAGACGAGAATTGTTTCCCACCCTGTCTAGGTAGAGCAGCTAGCATGAGAGGAGCTTGGTCCCTGCTTGGGGACCTTGCTTGTTATTCTGACATGTGAAAACTCTCCAAACAGTTGCTTAGAAGGATACCTGGAACTTCACTATTTATTCCTGAAATGTCAAAATGATTTTTTCAAGTCTGTTAAAGCTTGATAGGCTGATCTAACTTGAGTGTAATCTTCCATGAGGAAATTCAAATAGGAGACTCCCCAGAGTTGACCTTACGGAGGTTCCAGTCTGTAATCCTCATGTTTTTTCCTGGTTTATCTGGCTCCATGCTGAGTGAAGGCTTGTGTGCAACCCTACAGTTCTCTGATGACTGTGCCATTTTGAGAATGTATATGGGCTAACAACTTTTGTGATAGCTTTGCAGTCAGAATGTAGCCTGAAACATGAACGTTGGTTTGTTTCATTTCCTACGTTTTTACCATAGCTACAGAGAATGAAGCTTGAGACAAACAAGGCACAAATTCCATCCTGCCAGGCCAATGTAAACAAGTAAGTTTACCTTTAAAAATAGGCCAATGTAAACAAGTAAGTTTACCTTTAAAAACATGGAAAAATAAACAGATTATGCTTTAAAAGACAGACTTTTGAAAGTTTGAATTTCACCAGAACTGAAGGAGTCTTAATTCATTTGTGTCATAGATGCACAGCTTGAAAAAAAAATCTGAACAGTTTAGGACAACACAAGTAAAGCTCTCATATCATCAGTTTTAGAGTGCAGGTTTATTGTGGTAAGGACAACAGAGAGCAGAAATAATTTTTCAAACCAAACCTGACAGTTTCTTCGTGACTACCGTTGTTACTTTTGTGAACTTCATGCTGAACAGCCGTAATCCTGCATTCTGACCTAGACTGAACTGGCTTATCCACACTTGAGAAAACACATAATTCTCACAGAGTTAAAAAGTAAAGTATCAGGTTCTTATCAAGTATAAACTGGCATAGCTTCATGGAAATAAGTCAAGTAAACCTTGGTTTATGCCAATCTGCATATTCTTAGAATAGGTCTAAGAACTGTTCTTAGAAGTCATGTATATAAAATACATTTTGAAGGTAAATGAGAAAGTTATTGTATATTATATATATTTAATCTACTTATATCAATCCTTAGGAGTTCAGTTTTTCTCCTTTAAGAGTCCATCAGTAATGCTGAAAGTCACACAAGTAACACCTATTTATTAGATTTCAGGGTATGATGCTATTGCATACTGTGGTTTTGGAAAATTCAGGGCTCCTCAAAATCCATTATTCAAGATTATGAATGTAATTTTAAATTCTGGTTTTATTATGTTGATATATATGATATTGGCGAGTATGATATTTTATCTTGTCTTGGTTTGGACTATTTTATGTATGAAGGAAAACAAGAAACTGACAATATAAAACTGTATTCATAATTTATAAGTCCCTAATGTTTCATCTTGTTAGAGGACTTGGAAAAAGTACTAGCAAAAGACATGGAGAAAAAGAAATGAATGGGGAGTTAAACTGTAAAACATAATGCATTGAGTAAAATAATATCATATAGGGATTGTTATTATACAGAGATGGTACTAGTCTGTAGTTAGTAGTTTCTCTTTCTTGTCAACAGAGCTGATGTTCAAAATGTTCAAAAGTGTTTTTGAATGAAATCAGTTTCATTCAGACATCTTTTCCACGTCTTTTCATAACTTACATGGAAACAGATTATTTTTGTATTGTATCGTATTTTGCTCCTATACTACGTATTGAAGGGATGCCTTCAATTTCAAGGAGCTTCTCTTTCTTCCATAATGACAATCTGTCCGTGTTAGCCAACTGTCTGTCCTCTTGTGGGGTTTGTGTGCGTTCTGAATTCTTGTTACAAATACTGATAAATGCAGGTATTGCGGTGACTCACTGGTGGTAAACATCTAATGTATAGGTGTCACCAAAATATTACACTTTTGAAGGCTGCATAAATACGTGGATCAGTTACCTGTTGCAAAATCTTCTTATGGAGGTTTCCCACAAAATTATTAGTATGTGGTAGAAGTTCAAGTGCATGTTTTACAGAAGTGAGAAATGGTAGGGAATGTTTTAACATAATTTTGATGATGCCAGTAATATTTTTTTACAAATTAATGTTAGAAGAGTGCAGTAGCACCTACCAGAAATACTTATGTGTTAGAATCGTTATCTGAAAATGATATCCCATTGACTCCTGAGAAGACGTACCTCAAATATGATAAATGTATGGGTAGTTTAGGGTGAAGGAATTTCCCTCTTACCAAGGAGCAAATAGGAGTCTGTACCTATTTCCCATGCATTTGTTTTATCTGAGTGAGTGCTGCATAAGGGTTGCATAGTTTAGCATCATAAATATATTATCAAATATGATTTCTTGTCATTTTGGTGATAAGCTTAACTGGAGCAAGGGTCTGTGCCTGCAAATCTTTCTGAAGAATCAGGGTCATGATGAGAAAATACAATACTTCTATAGTGACTTGGAATCCCTGGAAGGCAGATTTTAGATAAGAAAAGCTTATGTTGAGATGTTTCAGCTCTGTGTACGGTTCTATTACGTTTTAACTTCTGAATTAGTTAAAGAATTTAAAAGCTTATACCTATCTTGTAATTTTCATTTGTATATCTATGTAAGTATATACATATATATGCATGTATACATGTATACACAAACATTATAGATATATAGGGGTGTGTGTGTGTATATATGTGTAGGTGTCTACACAGTACATGCATCCCTTCTATTTTACGACAAGAAACCTGAAAATCCAGAACTGAAATATCGTAGAATTCAGCTGCTTAGCAACTCAGATTGCCTTGGCTACAGGGCCTTAATTTTTTTGGACTATTCACTAAATGTATATTATTTAAATCAAAACATATAAGAATATTTTCTTCCCAGTTTGGCTTACACACTGTCATGGTATCTCAGGGCACATTGCATCTAATAATTTGTTTCCAGTTCAATAATATTAAACATATGAATGATTTACTGTGCACAGGAGGAAAAGGTGCGTAATTTAAGAGTGATGTTGAGTAAGGATGGCTTTCTGCTCGTTGCGGTAGACCCCCGTGCATAAAACAGCTTTGAGGTTACACTGATTCTTTTTTTCTGTGGTGAGGAAATACATTTTAGGAGTATGACTATAAATAGCAGCGAGTAGAGGATGTCGAGGGTGAGGCGTTCCACCCTGAGCGCGTCTGTGCCGGTGAGCTCGGCAGCCGAGGTTAGTGCTGGCCAGGGCTCAGGGGGCCTCCGTGGGTCCCAGGCGCTGGTGCCACAGGAGGGAGGAGGTGGCAGAGCTGACGCAGTCAGGCGGAGGCCTTTGAAAGAGGCTGGAAAAACATTCTATGAAGAAAGTCCCTTGGAAGGGAATTGGAATATATAATTTTTATGTGTTTAAACACAACTGGCTTTTACTATACGTGTCACGTCCTGTCTGAAACCTGATGAAATCTGCAGCTTTGTGAGAAAAACTTAAATGTTATGTTTTTTTGATTTGCTTGCTGTTGTTCTGTGACTCATTGATGTCTTTGTGCTGCAAATTTGTATTAATTTTTCAAAAATGCAATCGAACTTCATTTTATGATCTATTCTAGTAAGCTTTTGTGAAAACAAATTTCATCATTTCTTATTGTCTTTGTGTCTCAATGTGACCTGAGATACGTTCCTATCTGAAAGTCATTCTTATGACAGAGTACTTCCATCCTTTGCTATCTAGTATGATTTTACGGGCCAGTGTGTGCATAACCAGCATTTAC